AGGAACCTTTCAGTAGCAGTTAGAAAGATCACATATTTAGAAATGTGTAGCATTTAAAATAAAAATAACAAAATAAATGTGGTATTTAATGTAACAAAAATAATATGGAAGATAGCAGCGAGAAATTTAAGAGGAATTAAACAGATAAAAAGACAGAAATATGGAAGGTGAGTTTAAAGGTATAGAAAACAGTTTGAGAAATTTCAATGTCTAAGTAAGAAGAGATATAAAAGAAGAAATTAGAAAGAGTGGCAAAGAAATGACACTCAAAAATGTAATTGCTAATAATTTTTCAAAACTGATGAAAAATACATCTTTAAACTGTAAGTATACCTAATAACATTAAACTTTCAGTTATAATGACAACTCTTCACAAATTACAAATAGAAATTTATTTATCCCAATAAATGAACTCTAAGAAGTAAAAATAAGGGCCAGCAAATGGCACAGAGGTGGATCCCACATGTCTGAGCATGTAGTTCAAGTCCCAGATCCAGTAGCTTGAAAACTATATCAGATACATATGCTGCATGTCTGAAATCCCAAAAAGGGACGAGAAGAGAAGGGATTGTGAGGTGGCCATTCCTATTGGGAGGGTGCTTTCTGACATTCCCCCTCTGTCTCTCTCTCTGGTGAGCATATGCACCCTATAACAAAACTTTAAAAATATAGTTCTAGGAAACACTATGCTTAGTGTTGGCATATTAAAAAGTTCTCATGTGAAATCTGGACTGAAACAAGGATGACCAGGCCAGCACACCCACTCCACTCAAAATTTCACTGTTTTCATTTTGATAAAGTGTAAGTTGTCAATGTTTTTATGGATTACTCTTTTTCTGCCATATTTTGTAAATCTTTGTTTAATCACTAGCCAGGGTAGGGGATGGACATCCCACAACCCCTCCTCTTCACGCATGCACACATGCCTGGTGTGTTTCAAGCTACTGGGTGCAGGACTCGAACCATTGTTGGCCATGTGGGAGTCTAGTGCCTTAACTACTATGCCATCTGCTGGCCCCAAGAATGAGATTTTCTAACCCACTCCAGGGGATAGCAACTCTACTTGGACGGTGCACTCACAGCTGACAGTGGCCTGTTGGTGTGGCCCCTCTGGTACACAGATCTCTTCATCTTGTTGGTTATAGTGAAAAGAGAACCTCTACTATGGGGCCCCTCTGTTGCACAGATCTCTTCATCTTGTTGGTTATAGTGAAAAGAGAGCCCTTACCTGGTATCCACTGTTCTTAGAAACTTTATTAATAGTATTTCATACACAGCAGAGACTCAATACACATATATTTGTATGACATATTCATCACTTATAAAGTATAAAAATAAAATGAGCACTTATAAACCCATTGGATCTTAAACATCATTTGTTTAGAATAGTCATAGATTTTATTTTTTTTCATTTGTTATTCTACTGTAAGTGGCACCTTTTGGGGATTGTAGTTTTTCTCCATTGTCGGCTTATAGAGGTACAATAGATTTTTTTAAAGAATTATTAATTTGGGACCAGCAGTTAGTGTAATGGCTGGTGTTGGGCTCCCCCCGAAGTCTTGAATCCTGGACCCGGTGGCTTAAGCTCATGCCAGGCATGTGTGCGTGCGTGCCCAAGATCCCAAGAGGAGAATGGAGGAGAAGGGATTGCGGTGTGGCTATCCCCCCGGGGGGTGATTTCTCGCTTTCTATCTCTCTGTCTCTCTCTGTCTGTCTGGCAAGCGCACACGCCCTATAGCAAAAAACTCTAAAAAAAAAGAATTATTAATTTAATTTTATTTATCATCACCATTATTATTTTTTTAATTTGCTATAGGGCACGTACACTCACCAGAGAGAGAGAGAGAAAGGAAGCTGCTAAGTCTGAGACTTGAATCACAATCAGCTGTGTGGGAGTCCAGCACTTTAACCACCATGCCACCTGATGGCCCTGATGCAACAGATTTTTAAATAGAGATCTTACATACCACAACCTAACTTAACTTTTTTGTATTGTTAATTCTGGTCATCTGTAGATTCTTTATAGTTTGCCACACAGATGATCATATTAACTATAATAATAGCATTTTTATTTCATTTTATTTGTCATTCCCTTTATTTTCTTTACTTTATGCAGTTTCTTAAATGTCTTAAGAATATTAAAATATAAGTAATGATTGGAATCCATATCTTATGCTGGTCCTTATAGGGAGTGATTCTAACTTTTCATTGTTTTGCATTGCCCAGTTGTACTACAATATGAGGGACACACATAGTTTAAAATTTTCTAGTAATTACATTAAAAAGTAAAAATATGGGGTCAGCAGGTGGCATGATGATTAAAGCGTTATACTCTCACATGGCTGAACCATGGTTCAAGTCCCAAACCTGGCCATCTGCTTTCTGATTTTGCCTCTCCCTTTTTCTCACTCTGTCTGTCTCTCTCTGGTGAGCATGCATGCCCTAAAGGAAATTAAAAATAATTGTAATGATAAATAAAAGTAAATAAATAATTCTTTAAAAAATTAAAAATAAATTACCAAATATGATACATTAATATTACACTATGTAATACAAATGAAAATTATTAATGAGGTATTATATATTATTTATTTCATAATAAGACTTTCAAATCTAAGGTAAGGGCACTTTATACTTATAATATATTTCAGTTCTGTAGCTACTGGTTACCATATTAAACAGTACAGATTTAAAATAATGTTTGTGTATATTTGGATGGGTCAAGAGAATTTCCCTTTAATCTTGATTTGGTGAGAATTCTCTCTCCATTTTCTTTTCTTTTCTCTCTCTCTTTCAAGCACAAGTGGGCATTAAATTTTATTTTATGCTTTTTTCTAAATTTTTAAAATAAGCATACAATTTTTTATTTATAACAGATTTTTGTAGAGAATTACATGTATACATGCTTGCATTTTAAGTAAACTCAGCTCTGTCAGGAGTTGATCTCTTTTAATATTGTTGGATTCCTGTTGAAGAATTTTTACATGAACTTTCATGAAAATTATTTTCTTGCTTCATATTATCCTGTCTGCTTTTGATATCAATGTTACAATGTCACAGAATGAATTTGGAAATCAAACTTCATTTTCTGATCTCTGAAAAAGTTTATAAATTATGAAGCATTTTGTTTCTTACAAATTTGAAAGTACTCAACCATAGTAGCCTTAGTAGTACCTGTTTATTTTCTTTATGGGAATATTTTTAATTTCTAATTCAAAAGATCTATAAACTGTCAAAGGACTATTCTGGATTTCTACTTCTATGCGGTTTTTTAAAATAATTTTTTAAACTTTTAAAAATTTTATTTATTTATTTTTCAATTTGACCAGAGAAGGACAGAGAGACAGAGAGAGAGGGAGAAAGTGAGAAAGCAAGCCACTAGGTCCAGGACTCAAACCGTAGTCAGCCATGTGGGAGTCCAGCACACTTAACCACCATGCCACCTGCTAGCCCTCCTCTGTGAGTTTTTTTTACAATAACGATTGAAAAAATTTAGTCAGTTAAAAATATTATTTGGTGGGGCCAGCAGGTGGAATAGTGGTTAAGGTGCTGGACACTCCCACATGGCCGACCATGGTTTAAGTCCTGGACCTGGTGGCTTCCTTTCTCACTTTCCCTCTGTCTCTGTCTCTCTCTGGTCAAATTAAAATAAATGAATGAATGAATAAATACAAATAAAATTAAAATAATTTTTAAAAATATTATTTGGTAAGCACATTTATAGTATTCTTTTTTTTTTTTTTTTTTAGAGAAAGAGAGAGGTTTTCTGCTATAGGGCTCATGTGCTTGCTGGAGAGACAGAGAGAGACAGAAAGTGAGAAATCCCCCCACAGGGGGAATGGCCACGCCACAGTTCCTTCCCCTCTACTCCACTCTTGGGATCCTGGGAATGTATGTGCATGTGCCCAGTATGAATTTTAAGCCACTGGATCTGGGACTCAAACTGCAGTTGACTACCTCCAGTAACATAACCATTACGTCATCTGCTGTCCCATATATTTATCTCTTCTGCATCTATTTTATTTACTGTTTCATTCCCAATATTATTTATTTGTCTTTATTTTCCTTAAACTTATAGCTACGTATATGTTATTTTATTAGACCTGGCAAGAAATAAACTTTCAATTTTGTTGGTATGTTTTATTTTCTGTTTTCTTAATTTATTTCTATTACTACACATTCATATTTTTTCTTTCTTTCTTCTTCCTTCTTTTAGATTTTGCAATAGGGAGTGTGTACTCACTTGAGAGAGACAGAAAGAGAGAAGGAAAGTGAGAAATCACCTCCCAGGGGTATTTCCATGCCAAATCTCCTCTCTTTTATTCTTTTATTTTTTTGAGAGGTTTTCGCTATAGGGTGCGTACCAGAAAGACAGAGAGACAGAGAGATAGAAAGCGAGAAATCACCACGCCCCACCCCCCAGAGGGGATGGCCACACCGCAATCCCTTCTCCTCCATTATCCTCTCATGATCTTGGGCACGCACGCACACGCGCCTGGTGTGAGTTCAGGCCGCCGGGTCCGGGACTTGAACCACCATCGACTACATGGGAGTCCAGCAACATAGCCATTATACTAATTGCTGGCCCCTCTTCTCTTTTATTCTCCATCTGGATTTTGAGCACACATGCACATGAGCATGGTGTGTTTTCTAGGTCTCAGGGCCTGGGACTTGAACCACTAAGTTGACCATGTGCGTTCTAGTTCCCCCAACTGCCAAACCAACAGCTGATCCTAAGCCCTTCGTGTTATGTTCTTAAGTTTATTCTGCTTTCCTTTCTTTTCTTTTTTCTTTTTTTAATTCCCAGAGGTCACACATGCCTACCGCAAAGAGAGAAGGAGAAGTATTCCCCCCACCATGAGATGCAGTCGCACCACAATTTCTTCTCTCTATCTTCCATCCCACTGAGATTTGAGGGATGCATATGCAGCCTACATGTTTTCCAAGCTGCCCAGGCTAAGACAAACTGTGGTGAAATCCAGCTCCCTTAACCAGTGCTTAATACTTTTTATTAATTTCTTAAACTTTTTTACATTATTAGTTTTTAAAACTTTCATATTTTCTATGCTCATTTGTTTTTTTGCCATAGGGGCGTGTGCACTCACAGGAGAAAGAGAAATATAGAGAGGGAAAGTGAGAAATCACCCCTTGGGGGACAGCCAGGCCATAATCTCTTATTTTATGCTCTCTTCTTGGGATTTGGGCACATACTCACACCCACTCAGCATTATTTTCAATCTACCTGGTCTGTGACTCGAACCGTGGTGTTGGATATGTGAGATTCAGCTGCCTTAACCTCCCTGCCTCCTGCTGGCCCCTAAGTTAAAAATATTTTTAGGTTTTCATTAGAGCTACTATTTGGCTAGATATATTTGTTCTTAAGTTTTAAATTTTCAAATTCAAAGATATTTTACATTTATTTCTATGTTAATTTCTTAGTGGCATTTTGGTCTAAGAACTATATGGGGTCAACTTTTGTCAATGTTCTGTATAAGCTTTATAAAAAAAAAAAAGATGCATTTCAGGACCAGCAGTTAGCATAATGACTATGTTGCTGAACTCCTATGTAACCCACAGCAGTTCGAGTACCGGACCCGGTGGCTTAAACTCATGCCAGGCACGTGTGCGTGCGTGCCCAAGATCCCGAGAGGAGAATGGAGGAGAAGGGACTGTGGCATGGCCATCCACCTGAGGGGATGATTTCTCTCTTTCTATCTCTCTGTCTCTCTCTGTCTTTCTGGTGAGCGCACGCGTCCTATAGCAAAAACCCTCTCCTCTCCCCTCCCCCCCAAAAAAACATGCATTTCTTTTCATCTAGGGTTACAGAGTCTACACTATTAAAATGTTGATAAAATAGGAAAGGGCTACCAAGTAGTCAGTAGGTGGGCGATGGTTAAGGTGCTAGACTTCCACGTGGCCGACCGCAGTTCAAGTGCCAGAACCTGACAGCTTGCTGTCTCACTTCCCCTCTCTCTATTTCTCTATATGCCCTAGAGCAAATAATAATAATAATAAATTAATAATGTTTATTAAAAAACGGGGTTACTGAATCCAGTCACAGACATGGGCTACCTTACTACTATGCCAAAAGCTATTGGTTGAAAGCATCTTACCTTAAATTGTATATATTTTAGGGGATTCGTTTCTTTGGCAAATGCAGTGATGTATTCCTGGAGTTTGCTGTTGTGCATGAAGTTGGGGAAGTCATCGGGGTATGGGAAATCTGGGAAGCACATCATCTTTTTGGAGGAGTTTGTGAAGACTGACTGGTAAATGCTGGCCCTGCCCTCCTCTGCTCGGTCCTGTGAATGTAGAACGTACAGTTGCAAAGGTAAGGGCAAGGGCAGAAAGGCATGTCGAGACAGTCAGGGCCAGAGACAAGTAACTATACTTCTCTGAGTCAGCCTTTACCCCCCAGCAAGATGACGTCATAAGATGACACATAAGTCAACCTCATGTAAACAGTTGATGTTGTCAAGGAGTTTATCAAGGGAACTTAGACTATGGTAAATACAACTTTCGAAACATATTTTCCTAAGGAAAACAAATTTTAAATTTCATAATGTCCTTTTAGGGATATTTAACTAGAATCTTATATTCCCTTTAACCATTAAATATGGTGACAAACAGTTCCCCAAATTAAACTTTTTCTGATTTCCATGATTCATGAGCACAAGTATCTAAAGGTCAATTTATAAAAGCAGATAATGTCAAATGGCTACAGCTGATTTGGAAAGTGAGGTTATTTTTTGTTTGTTTGTTTTTGATAGATGGCAATGCACTTGCCAGGAAAAAAAAAAAAACAGTGAAAAAGAGAGTAAGTGAGAAAGCACCCACCCGGGATGGTCACACTGCATCCCTTCTCCTCCATCTCTCCCTCCTTTTGGGGTTTTGAGCCATACACATATGCACTAGGTGTGTTTTTAAGCTGCAGGGTCCAGAATTCAAACCTCATAGTTGGCTGTAAATGGCCTCGTATATACAGCTGCCTTAACTACCATGCCACCTACTGGCCCAGCATTTTTCATCTTTTAGGAATTAGGTTTGACATTTCTACAATGCAGAAATAGAAACCAACACATAGACTGTATGGGCATAGCATCCCTTTTGAAAATTTTTGTAGTAACAAAGTTTTAACTTCCAGAATGTGCAAAAATATCTGAATTAGGGACCAGCAATTGGCGTAATGGCTATGTTGCTGGACTCTCATGTAGTCAACCGCAGTTCAAGTCCCGGACCCAGTGGCTTAAACTCACACCAGGCACATGTGTGCATACATGCCCAAAATCCCAAGAGGAGAATGGAGGGGAAGGGATTGCAGCGTGGCCATGCCCCCCTGGGGGGGGGGTGATTTCTTGCTTCCTGTCTCTGTGTCTCTCTCTCTGTCTTTCTTGTGAGCACACATGCCCTATAGCAAAAAAACTCTCAAAAACAAAAATCTGAATTGGTTATCCTAACTCTTAGAAGCTGTGGATCTGTGCTCATAAACTTCAGAGGAGGTATTAGTAGTGACAAAGAAAGGAAACATGGAAGACAGATGAATCAGCAATGGGAATAGGAAGACTTAATGCCATGGTTCACAACCTCAGCCACAGGCAGGAATAAATGGAGTTTGAAAACAAACAAACATACATACACACATAGAGTTAGGTCTTACTCTTAGAGAATTTTGTTTCATGTCTGGGAGTTTCAAAAGCTCTTAGGTAATTCTGAAGCACAGCAAAGGTTGTAGCCACAGAACAGTAACAAATAGAAGCTGGTGTCAAACACTTCTTTTCCATTTGCCATTGTTTCACATTACCGCATTTGCTATATTGTGGGCTCTGCAAGCCAGCTGTAGAGGGGAGTAAACAGCATTCAATTAGAACAAAACAGAATACTGTTGGAACACAAGGAGAAAGAGGTGAGCCCTTCCTTTAGCTCTCTTAAACCACCAAGAGCTTTCTGAGGAGGTCACAGCTGTAGGAGATGTCTCTCTTTCTCAGGAGCTTCCTGAACAATAGGTCAGTAGATTCTATGGATTTTGGCCTGAAGTTTCATGATGAAAGATCAAACTAGTCCACAATGAACTATTGAGCACCAAAGATTTCTTTTTTTTTTTCCCTTTTTTTCTTTTTTGAGAGGTTTTTGCTACAGGGTGCGTGCACTCGCCAGAAAGAGAGAGACAGAGAGACAGAAAGCGAGAAATCCCCCCCCCCCAGCGGGAATGGCCACACTGCAACCCCTTCTCCTTCATTCTCCTCTTGGGCACGCACACGCACGTGCCCAGCGTGAGTTTTAAGCCACCGAGTCCGGGACTCAAATCGCGGTTGACTACATGGGAGTCCAGTGATATAGCCATTACACTAACTGCTGGTCCCAAGCGCCAGAAATTTCTAATTAGGGCTCAGATGAATCAAATCTGCAAGGCCTCCAGAACTTAGATTTCTCGTGTGGTACTGGAATACTGCAAGCATGTCAAAAGTCCCCATGGCCATGGCCTGATTCCAGGCAGATAATCGAGCATCACTTCCTTACCATGCTTGCTTTGAAATCGCTGTGATCCTGAAATAGGGCAGGAGTCTACTGCTGCTCATGTCCTTGGTGATCTGCCAGTCTGCGTGTGGGTGGGGAAGTGCAGGAATGTAGCTTTAGGTGATTTAGTTCCAAAGGGACGGTAATCAACACGAGGAGGAAGAAACACTGAAGAACAAATCGATATGTAGACTAGTCAAAAATCAGTGGAAGTTAAAAAAAAAAAAAGACCAGATAAATATACAAGCAAAAATCCTCTCTTTACAACACATCATGCTAACATCCATATTTACTGATTTATTATTTGGGAATCTCCTGATAAAGAGAGACATTTTACCTGTATGCATGGCCTACTCAGAAAGTACTTTCTTTTCTGTGATCAAAGATGGTAAGGGAAATATGCCATCTGGGTTTAGATCCAGGTTAGAAGTTGGAAGGAGAAGGACACTGGGAAGTGTGATAGGTGGCTCAAGTCACCTGCACCCTTAGTATTTCTCATGCTAAACTCATGTTTGGACCCCTTGAAAGAAAAAAAATAAGACTATAACATGCTGACCTAAAGAACTAAAGGGCAACAATACAAAATTAATATAATCTTCTCATATAATCACCATGCCAACAGGGAGGTGATTGTCACAGACTTCCTGCAGAGTTTAAGGACCCCTCCTGTCATGTCATTTTCATTCTATAAGTCTCCTCACAGTGGTAAATTAGGAAACTCTACCTAACAGACTATGTTGGCTTCTGTGGTTGCTATCATGAGTTAACGCAAACTTGAGAGCTAAAAGGGACAGGAATTTGTTTCACACAGTCTGGAGGCAGTGGTCAGAATCAGACCACCAGGCAGGGAACAAGGTGTTGGCAGGTCAGGCTCAGGTCCAGAGGCTCAAGGAAAGCCTCTTCCAGCACCTCGCCTGCAGCAGCCTTTGGCTTTTTCAGTGTTAAGAAGCCACTTTATTCCTTGGCTCATGGCTTCCTCATCTGCCTTTAAGGCCAAAATATAACTTATTCTAGTCTCTCTCTGCTTCATCACCTCCCTTCTGTCTTCTGTGTGTGTGTCACATCTTTCTCTGTCTCTCTCTCACAAAGACATGTTACGGCATATTTGAGCCCACTGGATAATCCAGGATAATCTGTCCATGTCAGGATTTTCAGCTCGATCCTATGTGCAAATATCCTCGTTCTTTATGAGAGAACGGTTACCAGTTCCAAGATTCAAATGTAGTCTCTGTAAGGAGCCATTGCTCAATGGTTCAGACTACTGGTCCCAAAGATGCACATCCATCCACATGCAAAGTACTTCACCCAGTCAGTCCCAATGTTTCCAAAGTTTCAACCAATGGCAGCTTTAAATCAAGTCCAATCCTCATCTAGGTCACATCAGCTCAAAATCATCTAAATTATATAAATAAGATATAAATGAGATGCTGAGTATGATCCATATGGGCAAAATTCCTCAATAATTAAGATTAATTTGTGAAAGACCTGTGAAACTCGAAGGCCAGTTACCTTCCTTTAGGACAGGCAGAGAGTAACAATTACACATTGTAATTCTAAAAAGGAGAAAATGGAAGAGAGAGAAAATCCACAGTGCCAAGCCATCTTGAAACCCAGCACCATAAATTCCCTTGTTCTAGGCCGGGGAAGAATCCCCTGTGGCTCTAGCCTCAGCCTGCTGGTCTGGAATTCTGCTTCTGAGTTCTCCTTTCTTCTTCTGGATGGCTAACCTGTGTTTGCAGCTGGGTAGTTTCACCTGCCTGTGATGCCAAGTTCGAATTTCAAAGTCCTCCTTGAGCCACAACAAAGACCGCTGTCTTGGGCTGGGTCCTTCTTCAAAGACCCTACCAACAGTGTTCTGTGTTCGATAGTGTTTGCAATGTAAGTCTGACCACGAGACTTTGGTTAAGAGCTCCATGCAGAGGGATCAGCAGTTAGCATAATTACTATGTCTCTGGACTCCCATGTATCAACCATGGCTCGAGCCCTGGACCTGGTGGCTTAAACTCACGCTGGGCGCATGTGCATGCATGCCCAAAATCCCAAGAGGAGAATGTAGGAGAAGGGATTGTGGTGTTGACATTCCCCCTGAGGGGTGATTTCTCGTTTTCTGTCTCTCTCTGTCTTTCCAGCAAGTGCATGCCCATATCACAAAAACCTCAAAAAAAAAAAAAAAAAAAAAAAAAAACCTCCTGCAGAAAACCTGAAGTTCATTAGGCCTGCTAGTTGAAACAGCATCCAGCAATTTGCAGAAGGGTGAGGGATTAATTCTGGCTGCAGGAAGAGGCAAGCTTGAATTGGAAGCTCTTGTCTCCACCATTTCCTAGTTGTGCAATTTTTACGTTATTTTTAAGCTTCAGATTAATTTGTAAAAGGGAAAACATCATACTAGCTTATAGAATTATTATAAAGAGTGAATTAAATTGAGACATTCGATAAATAAAAAGCACTCAAGGAAATAGCACTAACAGTTACCAATGAGCTGCTGTGTGTCCCCTGCAGCACATTCTAGTAACATACACCTGTCCAGGATGCTGGGTGGTTTCGAGAGTTCTTTGCAAAATAGCTGTGTTAATAAATAGCATCTCATGTCTTTTATAATATTAAAGAGCTGTCATATTGTTTCGCTAAATACAACTTTTTAATTGAAGTAGGTAATAGTGATTTTGCATTTAAGGAAGAAATGGTAGATGAAAAGTGTTACTGACCTTCATAAATTTACATTTATATTAATAGGTTTATCAGAAGAAGAAAAATGAGACGGACAGACCAGCTTAGCCAAGCAGTGCTGCTAAGGCTGGAGACGCCAAGGAAGTGGGGGGGCGCACAGAGAAGCTCCCACACTGCCAGGCCAGTACACAGGAAGTGACTGAATGAGGGCACACGCGTGTGTCTGCTGATACAGCCCTTAGTACAAGAGCACAGACGTAAAGGGACACCCAAGAACCTCATAGCAGTGTGTCCAACTCTTGGTCCCTCCTGCAGAAGTCTCATTATGTGATTTTTCAAGACAAATCACCCGTGAAACATTAAAATCTATGTTCTGAACAGCTAAGAGGGCCTTGGGTAACCTGGACAGAAGAATGGGAAAAGCCTTCACTCTTTAACTGAGTAAATCATGTAACATATCACATACGCCTAACTGATACTTGGCCGTGGGTTTCTCTCCCAGTGGCTCCTATTAATGATGTATCAGAGGTGAATTCTACCCACAGAGACCTTAAAAGATGGGAACTTGTCTAATTTCCTTCCTATCTGCAAAGAAGTTCCTTTCCCACCTCTTCTGGATGGGCTTTGTGGATTCTAAACCTCATAGGGACTGTGCTTGGCTGGCAGCAGATTTGGGAACCGGCACTTAAGTGGCTCTTCTCCTACCCTCCTTTGCCTCTTTCCTATCTATTGCAAGGACACCCACTCACCGAGAACGTCCACAGGCCCCCAACATCATTGCTCCCCTCAAAGCAGGTGGACTCCAGCCCCTCCTCCAGGCAACTCCTGATAGCGGTCAGGCTGTTGATGCCAGCTCCGATCATGGCCACTCTCTTGCATATGGTTCCCTGTGTAAAGGCCCCAGAAACATGTCTGGTGATAGCACTGTGGAAATAAACTTTCACTGGTATCTTTGGCTTAATTAAAACTTCCCTGTTGCACCAAAGAGAGGAGCATTAAAATAAAATAAAATAATAACTTGAAATTCCTAAATTACTAGGTTTTATATTTCTCTTTAAAGATGAGTATTTTTTGTTCCCAAAAAACAAATACTTTGACTTTAGTCAGCTCTTCAAAATGATGAGACTGATGACCCAGCATATGTATTTATCTTTTTTGCCTCTGCCTTTTGTTATTTTACTCTCTACCGAAGACAGAGAGCAGGAGAAATAACAGGAGTGTCACAACTAAAACACAGTCTGCCTCCCCAAATGCATATGTGCATGTGTATAAACACACACGCACACACACAGATATGCACACATCAGATTTTGATTCTATGTTGATACTACTTTGATGTAAGACTTGATGAGCACATGGCCTGGGAATGTCTATATCCAAATATGCCAGGGACTCACCCTTTTTCCTCCCCTACTAATTTCCTTCACCTCAATGAAAGAGTGACGTCAAGCAGTTACCTAAAAATAACTTTCCCCACTAGCTTTCACCCCAACCTTCATCCTCCTCTGGGAAAAGAACTTTTCCTAACTTCCTGTTACTGATTCTATTTTAGGCTCTACAATTGCTTCTCTCCCATTTTTTTCTTTATAGACAAAAATCACGTAGATATACAGAAAATTAAACTAGGAAGGTAATGAAAGGTTTTCGCTGATAACGAGCCAATCCTCCTTGTCCAGGGAGTGCTATGGCGACCCCAATCAACCACAAAAGTCGCTTCTTGATGCAAAGTGCAAGAGGCTTTATTTTTAGTGCACTAGGACTTCACTCTCAGTCATACAAGACACGATGGCGAGTGAAGCCCCAAACAAAGGGGCATTCAGGTTATATAGACACAAGTCCGTGGAAAGAATGAGGAAGTAAGATAAGGGTCTTTCTGCAAGGTGCTAAGCTAACTTGCAAATTGTTCCAGGCTTTTACAACTTCAGCAGTTTATAATGAGAGTGGCATCAGCTTTAGTACAGAAGCAAAAAAGGCAAAGGTTAAACTTTATGTTTACAAAACAGGATAGGTACAGTTTAATTTTATTCTTACATTCCCCCATTTTGCATTTTTGGCAAGGAGTTTTAATCATAAAACTTGTGTACCCATAAGAGTATCAGGACAAGTGTCTCAGCAGCGCTCTGCGGGCATCAGGCAGTGGCCCAGGAGGCGGGTCACAGTGCTTGGTCTAGTGGCGGCAGCAGAACCCCAGCCATTGGCAGTGAGCGCATTTGTGCCTGTGCGGTGAGCCCCATGCCTTTCTTCCTCCCTGGGCTCCCCCGGTGCCTGCTGCCCTGCCTGTATTCAGCCGTGCCGCGGCCCGGCGGCCCCTGCCTCTGCCAACAGCTCGGGGGACGGCGGCGCAGTGGGCGATGGCGCTGTGGTGGACTGTCCTGTGTGCAAACAGCAGTATTTTTTTAAAGACATTGTGGAGAATTATTTTATGGGTGATAGTGGCAGAAAGGTTGCTACAGATGCCCAGGATGCCAACCAGTGTTGTACTAGTTGTGAGGATAACGTCCCCGCTACTAGCTACTGTGTGGAATGCTCTGAGCCACTGTGTGAGATGTGCGTGGAGGCTCACCAGTGGATGAAGTACACCAAGGACCATACTGTGCGTTTTACTGGGCCAGCCAAGTCTCGAGATGGTGAGCGCACAGTCTATTGCAACGTGCACAAGCATCAACCCCTTGTGCTGTTTTGTGAGAGCTGTGACATTTTTACCTGCTGGGACTGCCAGTTTAATGCCCAGAAAGATTACCAGTACCAGTTCCTGGAGGATGTCGTGAGGAACCAGCGCAAACTCCTGGCCTCCCTGGTGAAGCGCCTTGGGGACAAACCTGCCACCCTGCAGAAGAACACCAAGGAGGTTCGCAGCTCGATCCGCCAGGGGTCTGATGTGCAGAAGCGTGTGCAGGTGGATGTCAAGATGGCCATTTTGCAGATCATGAAGGAGCTGAATAAGCAAGGCTGCATGCTGGTCAATGATGTCCAGAAGGTGATGGAGGGGCAACAGGAGCACCTGGAGTGGCAGCACTGGACCATGACCAAGATTCAGAAGCACCAGGAGCACATCCTGTGCTTTGCCTCTTGGGCTCTGGAGAGTGACAACAACATAACACTGTTGCTGTCTAAGAACTTGATTTACTTCCAGCTGCATCGGGCTCTCAAGATGATTGTGAATTTTGTTGAGCCACATTGTGAGATGAAGTTTCAGTGGAACCTCAATGCTTGGACCAAGAGTGCAGAGGTGTGTGGCAAAATTGTGGCAGAGCATCTTGGCACTAATCCAACAGGCCCTGCACCCATGGCCCCTCCAAGAGCCCCAGGACCTCTGAGCAAGCAGGGGTCTGGAAGCAGCCAGCCCATGGATGTGCAAGAAGGCTATGGCTTCGGGTCAGATGATCTCTACACAAGTGCAGAGCCCCATGCGTCAGGCATGAAGTGGTCCCACTCGGGTGAGGGCGACATGAGTGGCCTTATGCATAAGGTGCCATGTGTGAGCCTTGAACGCCTGGATCTGGACTTTAAGCTGACAGCCAGCCACCCATCTTTAAGGTCTTTTTCAGGCAGCACTACTGAAGATTATAACCTCATTGTGACCGAGAGAGGGGCTGCTGCTGTAGCTACTGACCTGCCTGGGACTGCGCCCCCAGGGACACCTGGTGCCCCGCCCCTGCCTGGCATGGCCCCACGCAGGGCGCTCTGGGGCCGCAATGTGGGGGTGCCACCCCATTGCCCACTGTCACCATTTTTTCCAGCCACCCCACAAGCCCATACCAGCCCTCGGTCCTGGCCGCCTACTAGGCTGTCTACAACCTCTCTTGGCTCCCTTTCTGTGTGGGTGCCGGGCCGTGGGCGTTGCCAGCACAAGCAACCCGCAACATGCAGAACTGCGGCCCAGTGAGTGCCCTGCCGAGGGGCCGGACTCTGGCAGCAGCTGGCGTCTCCCGGGTGACCCGCATTCTGTCCCCGCCCCACCGCCGGCGGGATTACACAACGCTTCCCCTGCCCGTGCCCTGCTCCAGGCATTATACGCCCAGCGCTTGCGCTCACCAGTGCCCCCTGGGCAGGGAGCTGCGCGGGCGCCAGGGTGGGCCATGGGCAGTGGCCATGTTGCGGGGGGCTGGTTCAGGCAGGACACCAGGGTCCCCATGCTCCCTCCTGGTTGGAGGGGAAGGGTGAGAGTGAGGGGTGTCCGGTGATCAGGGTGATGCCTGGGAATCTAGGACCAGACCCAGGGGGGAGGATTTTGTATCAGGTCTTGCCAGACGATGATGTAGAGCTGTTGATCTGGATAACTTCCTGGTCCTTTCTGAAAAACAATGTCTTTAATGGCAAGAACAGTTTTGAAATCAAATGTGCCCTCGGGTGGCCATCCGACATTGAAAGTGGGCTACTCAGATGTACAGAATGTCTGTCAGAGACCCTTCCTAATCTCTATAGATAGGTCATGACCTCTTCCCTTTACTTCAGTCCAATGTCTAAGAGTCAAATTCAGAGGAGCCACTACAGTCTGTCCCATCGTCAATGAATAGGTTAAAAACACAGACAAAAGAACAAAGAACAGGGCAAGAGAAACAAAAAGCAACTTACCGACCTAGGTCTTCCACAAACTCAGAACAGATTCTGATGGGCATTGGCTGTGAAGGCCTCTGTGCCCTTACCACAGGAGACTATCAGGCGTCCCTGATCCTCCCTCACCCTTGGGGCATCCCCCAGGGCTGCAGCCTGTGGTCCTCCAGGCATGTCTGCTGACCACAGTCCAGCTATTTTACAATAGTCCGAACAGCTGCGATACCTGATACAGACAGGGACCCTGATACAGACTTTTACATGAAGACAGACGAGAGAACAATAGACAGATAAAGGCTTACCTCCAAGGCCGACGTTGTAGGAGTGGGGTGACCGTCACATCCCGGACGAGCCCCCAAATGAAAGGTTTTTGCCAATAACCGGCCAATCCTCCTTGTCCAGGGAGTGCTACAGCAACCCCAATCAACCACAAAAGCCGGTTCTTGATGCAAAGTGCAAGAGGCTTTATTTCTAGCGCACTAGGACTTCACTCTCGGTCATACAAGACACAATGGTGAATGAAGCCCCGAACAAAGGGGCATTCAGGTTACATAGACAGAAGTCCATGGAAATAATGAGGAAGTAAGATAAGGGGCTTTCTGCAAGGTGCTAAGCTAACTTGCAAATTGTTCCGGGCTTTTACAACTTCAGCAGTTTATAATGAGAGCGGCATCAGCTTTAGTACAGAAG